TGTGTGTGTGTGTGTGTGTGTGTGTGTGTGTGTGTGTGTGTGTGTGTGTGTGTGTGTGTTGACTTTTATTTGAAAATTATTCATATAAATTAGTGATCAGATAAAAAAATTTAATCAGCAACAGATACATTCAGGCACTTTGACAGTTTTGCATTATCAAGATTCACTGTTAAATACAGTTAAGATCAATGTGATTCTTCTGAGTTGAACGTACTAAACTATTGCAGACAATAGATGGTAATAAAATATTTACTTTTATAGAATAAAATGCAAAAAAAAAATCTCAACCATCACATAAAATGCTTAACCTAAATGTATACAGCTTTGGATAAAGTATTCAATCAGGACTGATATTTCTCACTGAACATTATTTTAGGAATTGCTCATTCTGTTGAGCTCTTACTGTGTCATTGAACTAAAATTAATTCATTGTTACAGAATTGATTTAAAGAGGTTGGCATTCTTTTAATTTGACCTGAAATTAATATTTATTAATTTTTTTTATTTGACTAAAATAAGATGAATTGAAATATTGTGGCATTTTACTGTTTTTCATTAAAAACCCTGCTGTAGGTCAAATATTTGCAGGTTACAATCTTATGAGACAACCCCCCTGGAAACTCACTGAGTGAAAAGTAGGACTTCTGCCTGCAAAGGACTCCGTGTCTTAAGGGGGATAATCAGGAAATTTGTTGATATTACAAGAATTATGGGTGGAACCACAGTCTCTATGGAGGTCCTGTTTCCTCTGTTAAGTAGCTATAATTAAAAAAAGGTTACAGAAATTCTATTAAAATGCTTGAGTCTTTGCTGAATAAGCAAAAATTACATTTTCTTAACATAAATGTTGAAATAGATCCCAGACTATCAGATTATGTTTTTTCTCGAGTTTATCGTTCCAAGTTCCACACAGGGAAAGTGTCCAGGCTGTTTTATGGTTGAGCCATAAAGCAGATATATAAACCAAACTCAGGGCAGAGTCGGATTCACATAGGAGAACAGGAATCCAGAGGTGAGTTCAGTTCAGCTTGTTTGACCTTCTGTTCCAGCAAGGTGGAAATATTCAACAGAACCTCTCAAACTACAGCCGTTAAAAAACCAATGATAACTTTTATGATGACCAAAAATAACCAATGATAACTGTATTCTTTTCTTAACACACCTGCTATTTCTAACTATATTTTCAGATTCTATAACAACAAACTGTTTGCAGGAAAACTCAATAAACATACTTAAAACAAATTAATAGGCAAATATGACAGTAATGTGATATTCAAGACGTTTCATTACTGCAAGTATTTATTTCAAGGAATACTTTTTGAGAATAAATTCAGTCTAAAGTTAAATAAAAATATTTATTTTGCAATAAACTCACTGAAAAATTTGTCCAATCTAATATAAACTTGTGCTTGGAAGTTTACATACCCTTCCATTAAAGACAGAAAAAATCAGCTGCAAGCAAAATAAACTAAAATTGAGAGGAGTAATAAAATAGAAATTATAAAAAATGGAAAATTTGACATGATGGTTCACTGTTCATGAGCAAGGCATTTTAATTTGCGTGGGACAGTTTTTTTTTGTTTGTTTTTTAAATAAAATATTCCAGAATCAATATTTTATTTGACTAAATGACCATTTAATACATTTTTATTTATTATTACATTTTTAGTATTGTATTATTTGAATTACTAGAGTGAAATTATAAATAGCTTTAATGGGAGAATACGTAATCTTTGAAGCGCAACTGTATCTAATAAATATTTAGGTTTTGAAATAGAAAAGGGTCATGAATAATTTCAAGATCTCAGATCAAGCTCAGAGCAAATTTAATACACTTTTATTTTCCTCCATGTTGAAGGTTAAAGCCTGTTTAATGAGGAACTGAAATGTTGAGCTACAGTTTGTGTTTGTTCACCAGATGAAGCTGTTGGTGCTCATCCTTCTGTCGGCCCTGCAGGCCATCTCCTCGGCCAGCCCGCAGGACATCGTGAAGAAGAGCATCCAGCACAGAAAAGGTGGACATGCATTGCATTACTTCTTTGAAAATAATTTCTGTTTGTGTTTTATTTGATAAAATGGACACACTTTACATCATGAGGGAAGCACAGGCTATCTAACACTTAAGCACAGGTTGCTCATGATCAGAGTCTATGTTTGTTCAATGCATCGAAAAGCTGGTGTCTAACAATATGATTTAACTGTTTAACACATTTTCCATACTCTGTTTAACAAAAAAAAAAAAAGCAGTTCCAGGACTTATATATAGAGAGCAAAGTTTTTCACAGGTGCTAATAAAGTGGATAAATTGAAACAAAATAAAGTTCATCAAAAATTGATGACTTTACTTTCTTTCTAGTTAAATATAAAATTTTATTCCATTAAAATATTTCTTCTAAAATATCAATTCATTAACATAGAAGACTATTTAAGAAAACAGCAACTTCATTGCAGAACTAACTATGAGGCCAATATACACCAAGAATCATTTATCTTTCATCTCATGCTGGTGTACTATTCAACACAGCAGCACATCAGTGCCGTTTCTTCTAAGGCATGACTCAATTTGCCACACAATCTGCTTTATTTCATTACATTCAGAGCTCTGAAATGTATGTTTTCCAATCAGCCAAAATACTTGGTAAGGTGGGGAAAAAATGATACATCTGCCACAGAAACTGGAACTAGAGGAGCAGAAACGTCCAAAGCTCTGAAGCCCAGAACTCCTGAAGCACAAAAAGCATAAAAGTCTTACCCAACAGTGAATGTGACTAAAATCTTAAATAATTTAATTCAATTCAGTTTATTTATATTGCGGCAATTCAAAACATGTAATCACAAGGCACTTTATAGAGAAAATACAGCCAGATTTGTTAAATATTTCTGTCAAGGAAAACCAGTTGATTTGCATAATCATTAACTTGCATCCACCTGGATGGGCTCATACAAATGTAAGCTGGGTAGGATCCACAAATGAAATCAGAGAATAAAAATCAGACATGAACCTTAAGGTAAACATTCCCCAATAAGCTTATTGTTGTTTTCTTTTATACAGTGTCCTTGTTGAATCCAGAACTGAAGGACCAGATTCCTGAAATCATCAGTAGCAAAGTTGTTTTTGGTCCCTTAACTCCAGTCGACTTGGAACAGCAGCAGGACCTACCTTCATCATTTCTCTTCGGTGATAACGTGAACCTGAAGTGGCTCACCTGGGATGGCTTTCTGCCAAATGGTGCTGTTTCCATCTATAATGGCTACACCAAGAGAACCGACTACGTCTGCAAGTACCAGTGTGAGGCCGGCTTCTACAACCCTAGTCTCGGCCCGTACTGCCGATACCCTTATGGAGATCGCGAGTACTATGCCGCTAAGTTTGAGATACTAACCAACAAAGATAACTTTGAGTTTCTAGAGTGGAAAGGAGGTTCCTATGGCTCTGTGCCAAATCATTCAGTGAAAACCTGTGCAGGTGGTGGTATCTTTGTTGGAAAGAACAAGTATGGTCTTGGAAAGGTTGTCCCTCAGTTTGAGGCCTTCTTCCTGCCTTGGGAAGGTGATGAATACTGGTACAAGAACTATCAGGTTCTTACCATCAACAGGGATGCGTACACTCAGCACATCACTGATGTCAAGTATGGCATTGACGAGGTCGCCATCTTTCAGTATCCTCCTGAAACGATGCGTATCTCCGGAGTCACCAACAATGAGTGCCAGGCCATTGTGAAAACAGCCACCATCTCCAAGACCTCAGAAGTGGAGACGACCTGGAACATTGGCAGAACGACTATGATGGGCATCACCAGCAGCATCACAGCCAATATCCCTCTCATCGGATCCGCTGGCATTGAGATGAGCGTAGAGAAAACGCTGCAGTTCTCCAGAGGTACCACTGTGGTGGAATCGCTTAGCCACTCAGTGTCGGTTGAGCTCACAGTACAACCGAACCACTCCTGCAGCGTACGAATGGAGGGGAGGAAGATTAAAGCAGACATCCCCTTCACTGCTCGTCTGAGCAGAACATACCGTAACGGTCAGACGCGGTCGACGACTGACTCAGGGATGTACGATGGAGTTCAGATCGGAGAAGTCCGGGCCGTAGTGGATCGTTGTGAACCTGTGGCTGATGCCAAGCCCTGCCCCTGATAAAAACACCTGTACATGTTTATGATCAATTAAATGATGACTCACAAAGAAAAACCTGATGTGCACGTGTTTTTGACTGAATAAAGAAGTGAATCTTTATGGGTTGATGTCTGAAAACAAGTTTCGCTATAAAATATACAGTTAACCTCTAAGCTTGTATGTTTTCTCCTACATTGCCTTCCATTTACCATTTCCACATCATAAATATCTTAATTCATCACATTCGTGCTCCGCAGAAAATTAGAAACACCCTCAGATCAGTTATGAACATAATGCTTGTTTGTTATGTGTTATTATTACCTAAAGGAGTAGGACCCAGAATTCAGGCGAGACAGACTGTGGGAAAGTTTAATGAGAGTGTCCCCATTGCAGTAGCCCCAGTGAACAGCAGGAGTCAAAGCCAGGTCAAGCAAACAGCTCAGAACAGGACGGTTCTGAGATCTAGAGTCCGCAACACGGCCAGGGGTTCTGATCTGAACCGGAACAGACAGATCCAAGTCTACAGGAATCCACAAAGCACTCAGGCAGTTTCAGGGCTCCATTAGTCCAACAGAGAGCTCAGGCACACAGGCTCAGATGGAGAAAGGCAGGCTCAGCAGTTGAGAGGCAGAACAAGAACCAACACCAGGAAAACTGCAGAACTTTAAACTAGCTTCGTCCACTGAGCCACAACAGGAACAGGAAGCCCAGCGGACAGGCGCCAGGAAACGACAGGACAACACAAACAACCCCCTCTAAACACTGGCCTCCCAGAACGGAAACATCAAATATGGAAAAAACTCAAACAAACAAACAAACATAACAAATGATCTGGCCTTGATAGCTAAAAAGCAACTAAAAAGGGGATAAAATGAAAAAGTACCTCCTGAATTTAAAAAAGCTATTTAATAATTAATGAATCCTTATTTTATTAATTTACAAAGGCATAAAAATTAACTATGATTAAAAGAAGTGGCATACAAAGTTGAGCCCTGTTATGATTAATACATGACCTGCAGAGATAAAAAATGATTTACAAAGAAACCCCCTCTGGCTAAAAATCTCAGAAAATAATTTGTCTAAAAAGTAAATAATAATAAAAAATGACTGTAGAAAAACAAACTTGCTTAATCCCTACTTAAAGTCCTTTTTAAGATGGTGGGACACCAATGAAACAAAATATGAAACAACTATCCACAATTTGGGAAAACATGCAGTAGTGGGGAATCTGCTTCTGTCTCCTTGAACCCCAGTCGGCCTCTGCCAGTGGCCGCTCACACTGATCCTGGTTCTGCTGGAGGTTTCTTCTTGTTAAAAGGGATTTTTTCCTTTCCACTGTTGCTACAAGCATGCTTAGTGTGAGGGATTTCCCTTGAGTCAATGAGTCGATACAATCTGCTGGTTTTCCTTAGAAAACGTTAAATTTCAACTACATGATCAGGTGAATTGTAAACTGCCTCGACTTGACGTGTGTTGTGAATTGGCGCTATATAAATAAACTGAATTTAATTGAACCTCCTCAGTAGAAAACTATGAACCAAGATTACGCCAAGAGCTCGTTAGGATGCCACAGAACAATCTGGTGTCATACCTCATGCCATACAGCCCTCATAAGTTAAAGGTACACTATGCAACCGGTGTTGATTTTCCAGCGAGGCTCCCCCCAGAGGGCGAAAGTAAAAGTGCACTGTCGTAAATATGCTCAGTTGGTCTCCTGGTTTCTCCGTCAAAGCCAGGCGC